TCCCCACCGCCCCCGAGGAGAGGCTTAGCTCAGGCATCTGGTAGACAGCGAGGGTCAGGAGCACGTCCTTGGCTGCTGTGTTATGAGAGCCTCCCCTCTAGTGCCTCCTTTTCAGACCCATAGGCTTCTGCTTGGCTTCTCGTATGACCTGGGTTCCCCTGCTTGCTTCAGTTATGCAGCTTGCATGCTAATTCAGTCAGGCTTGAATCATCATACTTGACTGCTGAGTAGTCTGTACTAACTCTATATTGGTTTAGCTTTTCCTGGAAAGGCCCCCCCAGAACTGTGTGGCTCTGCCCTTCATATTCACCTCCCCTCGTACCTCGTATCACCATCTCGTCAGTTAGCACTAATGGGTGGTTCTGGGTCGGTCGCTCAGTCTCCATGCCGTCAGATCAATGCAGACTTACGCGGCGACCCTTTCGGACAGGGTAGAGGTGTTCCCGTGGGTCTGTGAGACTGTTACTCTTTCTGAAAGTTGAGGGGCTGGCTCTGTCCCAGGGAGTGGCTGGTGATTGCAGACTGCTAACTTGCGGATAGCAGCCCGAGGCGTCTCCACTGTGGCACCAGGGCGCTTTGTGTGGGCAGGGAGGTCCCTGCTAAACTGCATGCTGGCCCCTCTGCCAGGAACTTTCTTCTTTGTTGCATCCTGGTGTCTCCTAGTCGCCTGCGCAACTGCCTCTGACAGCAGATGCTGAGGCCAATGAGCTGGAGGTCAGGGTGAAGAGCTGAGGGTTAATGGAGGCCGTGGAAGCTCTTAATACTGTTCCTGATAAAGTCAAACCAGGGAGCTCTGGCTCAGGGTACAGAGAGCGAATATGTGCCGGACCTCTCGAGCATTTTGTTGTTCGTGACTCAGAACTCCCCACTCAGTGTTTGATCTTCCTCGGGTGGCCCCATGGCTCTTACATCTACAACAAGGCATCTGTCACAGAGAGCAGCCACCTGAGCCTCCCGAGAGAGGGATGATCAGAGTCTGGAGACTAAGAGGACCAGCTGTCATTCCCTGTTCCTCAGGAGAGCTATGCCGTCTCACTGACCCCTGCTCCCTAAGGCTAATTGTAGACCCAGCCTCAGAGGTCTGTGTTAGAAGTCACCTGTGTTAGACAGGGTAGACTAGAGAAACAAATCCAGGGACACTCATGTAGGTACCAGAGAGAGCTTTATATCTTTTTTTAAAAACATAATTTTATTAGGGGCTTATACATCAATTGTGTAAAGCACATTTGTACA